ATCACGTGGTGTCTCGGCTCGACGAACTGTAGCAACGGTGCATACTCAGGGAGAACACTTGTACCTTGAAATTTAGTGAGGGATCATCTTATAATAAACGATAAACATCGCATGCAATCAAAATATGTGACATGATATGGCCATCATCATCTTGTGCCTTTGATCTCCATCTCCAAAGCACCATCATGATCTCCATCGTCACCGGCGTGACACCTTGATCTCCATCGTAGCATCGTTGTCGTCTCGCCAACTATTGCTTCTACAACTATCGCTACCGCTTAGTGATAAAGTAAAGCAATTACATGGCGATTGCATTTCATACAATAAAGCAACGACCATTAGGCTCCTGCCAGTTGCCGATAACTTTTACAAAACATGATCATGTCATACAAAAATTTATATCTCATGACGTCTTGACCATATCACATCACAACATGCCCTGCAAAAACATGTTAGATGTCCTCTACTTTGTTGTTGCAAGTTTTACGTGGCTGCTACGGGCTTCTAGCAAGAACCGTTCTTACCTACGCATCAAAACCACAATGATTTTTCGTCAAGTGTGCTTTTTTAATCTTCAACAAGGACTGGCCGTAGTCAAACTCGATTCAACTAAAGTTGGAGAAACAGACACCCGCTAGCCACCTATGTGCGAAGCACGTCGATAGAACCAATCTCATGAACGCGGTCATGTAATGTTGGTCCGGGCCGCTTCATCCAACAATAGCGCCGAATTAAAATAAAACGTTGGTTGTAAACAGTATGACTATCATCGTCCACAACTCTTTGTGTTCTACTCGTCCATATAACATCTACGCATAGACCTGGCTTGGATGCCACTGTTGGGGAACATAGTAATTCTAAAATTTCTACGATCACGCAAGATCTAACTAGGAGATGCATAACAACGAGAGGGGAGAGTGTGTCCTCGTACCCTCATAGACCGAAAGCAGAAGCGTTTAGTAACGCAATTGATGTAGTCGAATGTCTTCACGATCCAACCGATCCAAGCACCAAACGTACGACACCTCCGTGTTCAGCACACGTTCGACACGATGAGGTCCCTCGAGCTCTTGATCAAGTTGAGAACGAGGGAGAGTTCTGTCAGCACGACAACGTGGCCACGATGATGATGAAGTTATCGGCGCAGGGCTTCACCTAAGCACTACGACGATATGACCGAGGTGTTGAACTGTGGAGGGGGGCACCGCACACGGCTAAGAGATTGTCTGTTGTGCTTTGGGGTGCCCCCGCCCACGTATATAAAGGAGGGGGGAGGAGGAGGTCGACCAAGACACTGTGTTTAACTTCATATCGTGATCTTTTGTATGTTTAACTGTAGAGGCTTACTAGGGACACTGTGTTTTGTCTATGTATCCACACATGTATGAAGTTTCCGGTTAATACAATTCTAGCATGAATAATAAACATTTATCATGATATAAAGAAATATAAATAGCAACTTTATTATTGCATTTAGGGCATATTTCCTTCACTCGCAGGCTCTCTTGTGTCTTTGTTGTGGACTTGTGGTCAAAGCATCATGGCGTGCCAATGCAAGGAGCTCACGGAGAGCGTGACCGCGGTTGGCTTGGTGAGGCAGTGGCTCGGCGTGGGTCGCTGGCTTTGAATAGGATGTCAAAGCGCTTGTCGGAGGGACCGTCGCCAGCACTCCCGCGGGAGGGAGAGGGCACGTTGAAGAATGGGTTGGTGGCACGGGAGAAGTGCATCCTCCCGCGCTCGAGGCCGCCGCCATGTCCACGCTTCTTCCACTCTCAAGGCTGCCGCCGTTGGGGCCAGCTCCTCGTACTTCGGCAGCCGCTACCAGCGACCTTGCGTGCTCCACCCGCCGAGGCCGCTGCGGGATTCCTCGTCTCGCGACAACTGGGGATGTGCGTGGCGGATGCGGTGGTTGTCGGGTGGAATCCCGCGGCTGCCGCAGGATCTGCCGCTCTCCTTGGCCGGTGCCCGGGCTGCGGAGCTCCTCGTCGCCGCTGATGCTCATGGCGGATCGAATCTACAATTGAATGGGAATCCTTAACATATACAAAGTATAATTTGAACTCAAGTAAGGCCACGTAATACTAAATCCTCGGAGATAGTTGTAAACATCGGATCAATCTGGAGCTCCTTTCCCTCCTTCAGTGCATATACACCCCATTGCCATACCGAGCGTGACGTGACTGTAAGCCGATGTGGCCATGGCGCGACGAGGGATGGGGGAGACACTGTGGTGATGTATCTGGCACGAACGTGGATGGGAAAGCAGATGTGAGCTAGGGGAAGGCGGCGCAGCGACGAACGAAACAACGTGTAGATTGGGGAGGGATGGGATTCGTGGTGGGAAATGATCTCGGCGTCCGTGAATCATGGCTGTTTTGACGAAGGAGTTTCCTTTTTTACATGTTCGTGCGGGAGGAGGTATGCTATGAGTCGGAGCGGATGAACAAAATGACAACACCTAGCATCACGACCGCAGACTCCTCCTTTAGAAGTAGAGCAAAAAGTAACACTTCCATAGTAAGATTTGTTTGTCATGGTTTACTTGTTAATCTTTTTAAATCCTTTATTTGTTTCCCGAAAATATATTATTTTTTTCCTAAAGCAAATTGCATTAATGAGAGAGATCGGTTGATTTGGATAAGTTAGGAAAGTTAGATCCGTGATCTTTTGTATGGTTGGAAAGTGCTGATTTTTTAAAGAAAATAGTGAAGTAAAAAATAAATCAATGGATAAGAAAATCCATGGGAGGGGGTGGTGGGAGGTGGAAGGAAATAAAACCGGACGAAAATAAAACCGGAGTACCAGGCTACCAACTGCTCCATTAGGAATAGAAGATGAGCACGTCTTGTCGTAGTGGATCTGTTAAACTGGTTATAAGTGGAGTTCCTATGTGACACACTCTGCGTCAAAATGATGCGCATTCGCACAAGCAAGTCTTTCACGAGCGCCGATTGGGCCGGCCCATTGAAGTGCGCGGCGAAGACCAGGTGAAAATCGCAAAAAGGGTAGCTGGGATTCGAACACAAGACTACCAACTTGTGTTTGCATGCTACTAGCCACTACGACAGAAGAGCTCGGTGGACCAACGTACAATGAAACTCTAAAAGAACAAACGAAACTATAAGACTTAACACTGCTTGAAAATATCCTTTACAAATTTTAAAATTTTAATTAAATTTTTGTATGTATGATTATTTTTTGACAAAAGCAATTAATTTTATGATATCACGAACAAATTTTGAATTTCCAAACATTTTTCGTAAATATGAACATTTTTAGAATTTGTGAACAATTTTCTAAAGCACGAATATTTTTTAAAATTTGAGAACAAATTTTGAAACAGAGAACATTTTCGAAAATGCCAAACAAATTTGGAAGCACAAACATCTATTGAATACATGAACAAAAAATTGAAATCCAGAGCATTTTTTGAAATCTTTGAACAAATTTTGTTAAACACAAACATTTTTTTTATAAAAATGCAATCTTTTATTTTATAAAATCATGGGTTGGAAAGGCAAACAAATTTCGTATATTTTGAACATTTTTTATTTTGCATTTTTTGTACTCCCTGCAAAAATGCGAACAATTTAAAAATTTTGAGAATGCCTTTTCAACTTGCGAACAAAGTTTTGAAATGCAAACACATTTTGAGCATTTTTATGAAAAAAAGCAGGACAAAAAAAGAGAAATAGAAAAAAGGAAAAAACAAAGAAAAAGCATTCCAAACAAAATTGGAACAATTTTTAAAATCACAAACATATTATTTATTTTTAGACCAAAGTTAGAAACGGAGAAAATTTTTCAAAATTCGAATTTTTTTTTAAACGTGAACATTTTTTGCATACGTGAACAAAATTTTGAAAACATAATTTTTTTTGAAATCCCGGTCATTATTTGAATATGAAAAAAACATTCCAAACATTTTTTTGGAAAATGAAAACAATTTTTGAAATGCCCGAACAAATTTTTGAAAATGCGGACATTATTTGAATTTATGAACAATTTTGAAAGCACGCCAATTTTTACAAAATTTAAAATATTTTAAAAGTACGAATATTTTTTCCAGTTTCTGAACAAAATTTGAAACCTGATTTGTTTTTAAAAATGGACTTGAAATGTAAAGGAAACGAAAAAAAGAAATCGAAAAGGAAAAGAAAAGAAGCAGAAAGGTCGACAAAAGAAAAAAACTGTTCTAGGAACCTTCTAGAAGTTTCCCTAAATCAGAAAAACCCGGCTGGGAAACTTTAGAAGGTTGCCGAAACCGGAAAGTGCCCCAATTGATTAACGGGCCGGCCCACGTGAGCGCTTCGATCGCCAGCTCTGTGCGTTGCGGCGACAGTTCGACGCAAGGAGCGGCAAATAGGGGATTCCGGTTATAAGTATCTGATTCTCAATTGCCTCAAAAAGAAAGAAAATAATCTGATTCTAGAATAAAAAAGGTTAGAAGTGTCTGTTCGGCCCATGCATGGCATGGAAAATATCTAACGTTCAATGTGCATTTCCCGTCTTGCATGTTTCAGTGCTCGACAAATCGTATACAAAATATTCTCCATTAATCAGCATTCACAGCCTTCCATCAAAAACAAAGGAAAATCAGCACTCACAGCCTGTGCGCAATCCGCATTCTTGGTGGATATTAATTTTGTCCTCCAAATTTACACCCGCGCATTTACTTGCAGCGTATCTCGCGATTTCGCACCGATCGGTCGTGCATGCTGGATTCCCAAAGCTTCTCTGTCGTTCTGTTGCTGGCAGGCGGTCCACGTTTCTGCGCTGTAAATGAATTCGCGTGAGGTCTCCCCAGGCCGCCTGTGATGGGATGGCGAGGCCGCCACACGCCTACCCGGGGCGCTGGCAGTCCTATAAATAGGGCCGCACGTCGAGGCTCAGAGGCAACGCAGACGCAGCCTCGACCAGGGGATAGATAAGGATAGATCGGGAGTCAGCTTGGGAGAGAGAGAGAGAGGGTCGAGAGAGAGGAGGAATCGCCAGACACGATGGGCGCCACCGGCCAACGTCGGCTGTCATCTCTGCCCGCGGCGGCGGCCGCGCCCCTCCTGCTTCTGCTCGTCGTGTCCTCCTGTAAGTCGATGGTTTCCGGCCGGTGCACGATCTTTTTGTATATATCGCCCATTTCTGTTTGAATTGTTAACTGATTCGCTTCGATTCTGACAGGGAGCCAGGCGGCGGCGGCGGCTCCGGTCTGGACGACGGCGCTGGAGAAGCACGTGGCGTTCTTCGACACCGACAACGACGGCATCGTCTCCTTCTCCGAGACCGAGCAAGGTGAGGAAACGACCGTCGATCACGCGTCTTCTCCGCCCCCCTTGTTTATCGGCTTCGGTCCTTTTTTGCATCGACGGCTGGCCGTCGTCGCAGACTTCTAATTTTGCCCCTTTGTGTGCATGCATGCAGGGCTTCGTGCCATCGGTCTCGGAGCTATCGAGGCGGCGGCCAGCACGACCCTGATCAACGGAGCCATCGGACCCAAGACCAGACCTGTACGGCCATGCTCTTTCTCTCACTTGTCCAACACGCGTAAACAATCTCATGCCGTTTCCATGTTCCCTTGGGCGCTTAATCCATGTCAAATATCATCGGGGTTGTTACTTGTTCAGTAGTTCGTAGGCGACAGTTATGAGTTTACAAGGTCATCTTTCTTCGGCGTGCTCCTCCAGTCTCCTCATAGTCAGTTAGTTTGGTGCATATATGGCAAGGTTGGCGGCCTAAATAAACGCTTTACGCGCAAGCACACTTGTCGTCCAACACGTCCTTTTGTGTACACCTGCAACTGTGTGCCCTACTCTTGACACGAGTACAGAACCCGTGGACACAGTACCTGATACAAACATAACATGCAGGAAAATGCTACGACGTCGCGGTTTGACATCTACATAGCCAACATCCATAAAGGGATCCACGGGAGCGACAGCGGCTCGTACGATGCTCAAGGAAGGTTCGTTCCGGCCAAGTTCAACGACATATTCGCCAAGTACGCCAAGGTCAAGCCGAACGCCCTGAACGAGGACGAGCTGGGGGAGATGCGCACTGCCAACAGGAAGGAGGGTGACTTCAAAGGATGGTAATAATTTATCTCTCTTATTCATGCCGACGGTCGAGGTGTCGCCGTGCTAACTCCGCCGGCGGTTGCAGGGCGGCGTCGAAGGCGGAGTGGGGCATGCTCTACAGCCTCGCCAAGGACAAGGACGGCTTCCTTCAGAAGGACACCGCGCGCAGCGTCTACGACGGCAGCCTCTTCGCTAAGCTGGCCAAGAAGGCTGCTTCGTCTGGAAATTAACCGACCCCGACCGTGATTTGTACCCCGTGTTTTTTCTTCGAGATGGAATTTGTACTCCGTATTATTCGTGTCTTGTTCGTTGAACATGTGCTGTCGCTGTACAATTAAAAATGAAACCTGTTAATGCAAATATAATTTAGTCCTCCATTTGGCATGGCCGTTGCTGCTTCTGCAGATCCGGCGTTTTCTCCTAAGATCCTTGTGTGATGAACGTTTTTTCCTAAGGACGACTGGTCTTTTTTCAGCGTACTATAAGCTCGATTGGTCTAGAGCTCGATGGATCAGCTGACTTGTTATTACAGGTGACTACTAGTGCCCAAACATGAAGGAGGATTTGGGTGTGAATAATCGAGACTGTTCAATATTAGCCTGCTGAGCAAATGGTGGTGGAAGCTTGAGAGCAGTGATGGCCCCTCGCAGCAAATTGTTAGGCCAGAATATAAGTTTCAGGATGGCATCTCCATAGGGGAAATGCATTGTAGCTCCCAGGTGCCACACACCCTTATATAAATATAGCATTAAAATACTAGGAAATTTAAAAAAATCTGAAGTTTTGGGATATCAAACATGGGTGCCCATCGTACACCCCGTGTTTAGTTTTGTGGGGAATGGGTACCCATGGTATCTGTGGCGAAGGAAATACGGTCCGACATACGATCTATCCAAATATATTTTTATACATAGTAGGATTCTTTTGACTTTTTTATCGAGATTACCACGGGCACCCATTCCCCAGAAACTGAATACATGTGTCCAATGGGCACCCAAGTTTTTTTTTTTGAAGAGAGGCAAAAAGATTTGCCTCATTCATTAAATAAGTGGAATAGAGTTTATGTTCGTGTTACAACACTGACAGTGCCGCAACACCCGAAATAAAGGTGACCAACTACTCTCGCGTCGTCAAGTATCCCAACTTTCTTGCACCCGCTGATATCCAAAGCGTGGCCTCCTTCTTAATGTTGGCGAGTAGAACTGTCGGCGGAGCACTCTTCTGACGGAACACTCACGCATTCCTCTCGTTCCAAATGGTCCAGGCGACTAGCATGGTGAGCGAGGCCATCGCCTTCCTGTTGGGGATAGATGTGTCGGAGAGGCCCACCCACCACTCTTCGATGTTGCCTGAGAGGTGCCATGAGGAAGTATCAATGCTCACCAGTTGCAGCCAGTCCTTGACTAATCCCCATAGGCGGATAGAGAAGCGGCATTTATAGAAAAGGTGGTCAACATACTCTTGCTCCTGCTTGCAAAGTGTACAAAGGCCACCGTTTGGCCATCCACGCTTCTCCAATCCGTCTGCCGTCCAAATTATGTTTTGAATAGCCAGCCAAGCGAAGAATTTGAATTTGGGGGGAGCCCAAGCCCTCCACACAGTGTGCTCCATAGGGGATTTGATTGTGCCAAGGAATTGCGCTTTGTATGCCGACTCGGCCGTGTATTGCCCGCTAGCGGTGTGCTTCCATACAATATCATCTTCGGCATCCTCCTCGAGATGGAAGCCACGAAGCGTTGTCCAGAGGGTGACAAACTGACGTAAGTGATTCAGTGAAAACGAGTCCGGGATGCATATTCTTGAGACCCACACATCGTTGCTGAGAGCTTCGCGCACCTTCCAATTTTTCCTCGTGGACGCTGATGTCTACTACACAACCTTCTTTTTATAGACATTGTTGGGCCTCCAAGTGCAGAGGTTTGTAGGACAGTAGCAAATTTTCCTCAAGTGGATGACCTAAGGTTTATCAATCCGTAGGAGGCGTAGGATGAAGATGTTCTCTCTCAAGCAACCCTGCAACCAAATAACAAAGAGTCTCTTGTGTCCCCAACATACTCAATACAATGGTAAATTGTATAGGTGCACTAGTTCGGCGAAGAGATGGTGATACAAGTGCAATATGGATGGTAGATAAAGGTATTTGTAATCTGAAATTATAAAAACAGCAAGGTAACTAATGATAAAAGTGAGCGTAAACGGTATTGCAATGCGTTGAAACAAGGCCTAGGGTTCATACTTTCACTAGTGCAAGTCCTCTCAACAATAATAACATAATTGGATCATATAACTATCCCTCAACATGCAACAAAGAGTCACTCCAAAGTCACTAATAGCAGAGAACAAACTAAGAGATTATGGTAGGGTATGAAACCACCTCAAACCAACAAAGAGTCACTCCAATCAATCCGTTGGGCTATTCCTATAAGTGTCACAAGCAGCCCTAGAGTTCGTACTAGAATAACATCTTAAGACACAAATCAACCAAAACCCTAATGTCACCTAGATACTCCAACGTCACCTCAAGTATCCGTGGGTATGATTATATGATATGTATCACACAAACTTAGATTCATCTATTCAACCAACACATAGAACCTCAAAGAGTGCCCCAAAGTTTCTACCGGAGAATCATGACGAAAACGTGTGCCAACCCCTATGCATAGGTTCATGGGCGGAACCCGCAAGTTGATCACCAAAACATACATCAAGTGAATCATGTGATATCCCATTGTCACCATAGATATGCATGGCAAGACATACATCAAGTGTTCTCAAATCTTTAAAGACTCAATCCGATAAGATAACTTCAAAGGGGAAACTCAATTCATTACAAGAGAGTAGAGGGGGGGGGGGAGAAACATCATAGGATCCAACTATAATAGCAAAGCTCGCGATATATCAAGATCGTATCACCTTAAGAACACGAGAGACAGAGAGAGAGATCAAACACATAGCTACTGGTACATACCCTCGGCCCCGAGGGAGAACTACTCCCTCCTCGTCATGGAGAGCACCAGGATGATGAAGATGGCCACCGGAGAGGGATTGCCCCCTCCGGCAGGGTGCCGGAACGGGTCTAGATTGGCTTTCGATGGCTACGGAGGCTTCTGGCGGCGGAACTCCCGATCTATTGTGCTCTCGGATGTTTTTAGGGTATATGGAGATATATAGGCGAAAGAAGTACGTCAGGGGAGCCACGAGGGGCCCACGAGGATGGAGGGCGCGCCCTAGGGGGGTGGGCGCGCCCCCCTACCTCGTGGCCTCCTTGAAGCTTCCTTGACGTAGACTCCAAGTCTCCCTGGTTGCTTCTGATCCAAAACTAAGTTCCGTGAAGTTTCAGGTCAATTGGACTCTGTTTGGTTTTCCTTTTCTGCGATATTCTAAAACAAGGTAAAAACAGAAAGTGGCACTGGGCTCTGGGTTAATAGGTTAGTCCCAAAAATGATATAAAAGTGTATAATAAAGCCCATAAACATCCAAAATAGTAGATAATATAGCATGGAGCAATCAAAAATTATAGATACGTTGGAGACGTATCAAACGCCTCGTAAATTAGAGGTGCAATGTCCCTAGGCTTGCGGTCATTCACCCATGGCGCATCCCAAAATGGCGTCCTTGCTCCATTTCCAACAAATATTGACGAGGAGGCATAGAACAAGGAGTAGTCCATCGTGTTGCACGGGTCTCCCATACCCACCCAAAGCTTGGTGGGCTCTTTCCATTCAAACCATAACCAACGCAAGTGAAGAGCCCGAGCAAATTTCTCCGTGTTAAGTATGCCAAGGCCACCAAGATCCTTTGGCCGGCACACCGCATCCCAATTCACCTTGCATTTTGCACCAGTGGTCTTGTCCGTGCCCTCCCAGAGAAAGGATCTTTCGAGCTTGTTTATGTTGTGTAGAGTGGACGTTGGCACAATGAGCGGCGTGATGGAGAAGACGAGTTGCGAAGACAGCACCGACTTCACAAGGGCACATCGACCAATGGCAGTGATATTTTGACCATCCCAAGTGGTCAACTTAGCGGCCGCTTTGTCCTCTAGGTACTGGTAGTCGAACTTTCTAAGCTTCCACACCGTGAGAGGAAGCCCAAGTATTTCATTGGAAATAAAGCCCATGACGCAAGAAGGGCATGAAGGATGCATGTCAAGTTGAGTTGTCCACGCCGAATGGGAACCGCTGAGCTCTTCTGGAAGTTTGTGACAAGGCTGGTGACATTGCCGAATAGATGCAGAATGGTGGCTAGGCTGTCAATGTCTTTATTGATTGGGGCCATAAAGACTGTTGCATCATCTGCGTATAGGGAAGTCCTAACAGCCACGCCACGCGCCACAGATCTTGTGAAAGAGCCCTTTTCTCAATTCTAGCTCAAGAATCTTGTGCAGCGGGTCCATGGCAATGACAAATAGCAAGGGGGAGACCGGGTCCCCTTGTCTAAAGCCGCGGCCATGAGGGATGGGCTTGCTTGGCACACCATTCAAAAGGACGCGCGAGGACGAGGAGCACAATAGGGCGACGATCCAGTTCGAATCATGGGCGGGACTCCAAGCCTCTGAAGAAGGTCCAAGATATACTCCCATTTGACAGAGTCAAAAGCCTTCCGAATATCGAGCTTGAACAGGAGGGACGGAGTTTTCCGCAAGTGGAGGCGTCGCGCAAGATTGCGAACATACATGAAATTGTCATGGATACTTCTTGTCTTTATGAAGGCACTCTGGGCATTTGAGATGAGCTTATGCATATGGGGGGCCAGGCGGATTGCCAATATTTTCGCAATAATCTTTGCAATGGCGTGAATAAGACTAATAGGGCGATAGTCAGAAATATCCTCGGCCCCCTCTTTTTTTGGGAGGAGCACAACATTTGCAGTGTTGAGCCAATGAAGGCCAGTTGTGCACAGATTGGCAAAGGAGGAGACCACCCTCATGACGTCCACCTTGATGGTACTCCAACATTTTTTTAAAGAAGGGACCGGTAAAACCATCCGGCCCGGGAGCCTTGTCCCCTGGCATTTGATTAATGGCGTCCCGCACCTCATCCTCGGTTATGGGGTCCCCAAGGCAAGCCAAATTGTGGGTCTCCAAATCGAGCTCCTCCCAATTAAAGTCTATGGATCTCGCCTCCCCCTTTTCCATGACGCTAGAAAAGTGCTCATGGATGAGTTGCTCCTTTTGCTCATGATCTGTGACACAGTCGTGATTGTGTTTGAGCCGATGAATGTGATTCTTTCT